CCTGCTATTTCAGCTTCAGTTGGTCTTGAGGGAAGAAGAGAGAATTCTGGAGCATTCCCCACCAGTATGTCTGACCACGCCCACAATAACCGCAGCTCGTCTTTGGCATGCCCACTCCTATAGGTGCCCTGGACTAGCTCCCCATGGCAAATGTCATCATGCCCATTTTGTAGATGGAGAAACTGATATTTCAAGAGGTGAGGTGCTGGCTGAACATCAACTAGGTAAAAACCCATGAGCTGGATTTAGCCTTACCTGCCTGAGTCTGACCTGCCCGCTTTCCACGACACCACAGTGTGTCCCACGCTCCCAGACATGCTCAGGTTTTCTCCAGGCTCTAGCTTTGAAGGCCTGGAGCTGAATGGAGGAGGAAGCCCATGTTTTCATGTTCTTATAGGATAAATTTAGGCAGTCCCAGGAAAGAGAGTAATACTGAAGAAATAGGCAGGTGGGAGTCAGCAGCAGCCAGGTCCACAGAAGCCGGAGAGTGGGAAGATGGTCAGCCAAGGGGATCTGGGGGGATCTGAGGGGACATAACTGTGTCAGCCATACTCAGCCTCTGCCCCCTTGAAACAAGAAGCACTTGGATGAAAAAGATAATGTCAATAACCCCTATTACATAGCATTCTGATGCCTTCCAAGCACCAGCATTGGTTTTGTGCCAAAAATCTAGAATTTGCCATTCCCCTCAACTTCCTTGGAAAAAGTACCCAGCAAGTCCTGTCTTGCCAACTGTCTTTAAGAACAATAACCAGCCTACTTTGCTCAGGAAAACACGCTGAGTGCGTTGAACACATTCTTGCCTCTACAATGCCAGGCAGCAGATATTATACAGGAATTATGCTCATTTTAGACATGCAGAAACCCAGGCTCTGTAAGTGAGGACAGAGAGTGACAGGATGTGGCAGATGCTTACTTCAAGCTCAGGTTTGCCTGGCTCCGATGTCTGGACTCCTAACCTTGATGGTAAGCATTCAGCCAACTCCTGTCAGACACCCTCTGTTAACGTTGGCTACTAGGGAGGTTGAAGGCAGGCTGGATCCAAGCCCCACTCCTGAACACTCACTAGCTATGTGGTGACAGACAAGCGACTCAGTCCTCAACACTCAGCTTCTTCAGCTCCTGGGATTGCTCCTACCAGCCCCATGGAGCTCAGATCAAGATTCAGTGAGATTATGTGTATAAAGAGCCTATCTCACTCCCGGGTGTGGTAGATAGCAAAAATGGCCCCAAATTCCTCCCATCCCTCATCACATGCCCATTTCCAATGTGACTTTATGGCTCCACCCCTCAAAAGGTGGAGCTATTTCCCCATCTCCTGAGTCTGGGCTGGTGCACATGACCTGCTTTGGTCAATGAGACATTACCTAATGTGATGTCAGCTTGAAAAGCCATGTGCATTAAGGCCTGCTGCTGTTGGGCACTCTGCAGCCACCACTTTGTGAAGAATCCTGGGCCAGGCTTCTGGAGGAGGAGAGGCTTATGGTCCAGTTGGCCCATCACCCCAGTCCACAACGAACCCCCAGACATGTGAGAAAGGCTTTTGACTGCCAGCTGACCACAGATGCCTGAGTGAGCCCAGGTAGCACCATGTGAAGCAGAGGCAACCCATCCCAGTGGGCTCAGCCCATGATGCCAGCCCTCAGAATTATGAACAAATATATGGCTGTCATTTTAAGCTGTGGAGTTTTGGGGTAGTTTGTTATGCAGCAATAGATAACTGATATCCTGGTCCTATAGAGGTTGCTTAAAACGCATTCACTTTCTCTCTTCCTTACTTCTTTCCAAAGTGAGGTAATGGATGCAGAGGCAAGACTGACGATTTGGAAATCAGCGAGCCAGACCTGGGCTGGCCTGCCCTGAACTCAGCCCCCTGGAACTGTTTCCTCAACTGTAGGATCAGAGACTGCGACCAGGCGATCGCCAAGGACCCCTCCAACTCTAATGCTCTGACGTTGTGTTGCATCTTTGTTCCTGTTCTAAACTCTCACATCAACGTGGCCTCAGACATTTGTCTAGGTTTTGGATCTTTCTCCCTTGATTTCTGACAGCAATTCAGTTTTTCTTAGAGCCTTGCCTATCGTGTCTTCATCGAATATCTGAATGGTCATCTTTCTGTCTTTCTGTCAAGAAGATTCCAGTTTAATAAGACATCACAGGTTTTCAATTCCTGGATGTCATCAATTTAAGACAAACAATTTAACAACAGATTTTGGAGAAGAAAAGAAAAAACTATATTAATTACATTGCTTTAAAATTGGGTACACCATTCTTCATCTTTAGTATTACAACAATTTGAGTTTGAGCATTTTACATATCCATCTAAAGATGGTTTCTGAATGAGTGCTGTCCAACTCCGGACACTACCCATGGCGCCACACGGGCATTTTGTAGCCTTTGCCCATGGTGTAAAGCCTTTAATTCAAGACGTATTAAGGAATATTTCCTACTTGAAAAATTCCAATCTGTGTTTCCTCTAATCAAGTCACCTATCTCTGGGATGTAACAGCTTCTCCTGAAGTCATCCAGAAGCCTGACAGCTGGCTCAGTGTTTGAGTGACAGTTCTTCACAACACATGAACTGGCCCCACTGACCTCTCTTATCTCTGAAAGTTCTGTAATCTCTTCTTAGAAATAAGCATTGTTGAAAAGATTATGCAATTTCCAGGAGATTTGGCAATTTCTGTGTCCCAATACCCATTATGTGACAGCCCCTTATTTACTTTCTTGTTTCAATGCTACATCACAGCATAATAGTGAGGATAATATTCCAAGCAACACACACACTTAAGAGAAACCACCCTCTGTGTGCAGCTACCATTCCAGCTCAACTGAAGGGCCCACCAGGAGCCGCAGATCCCTTCCCTGAGCTTCCTCGTCTGCTGGGAGCAGGTGACATCTCTCTCTTCATTCAAGATTCCTGGCCCTGGCAAGTTTCTTTTGCAATGACTGGGAAGGCCCATTCAGATTGCAAAAACACTAAAATGTGCATATATGTGTTGGGGGGGCGGGGTCAAGAAAAGACAACATACATCTGAGGATCTTGAAGCCACGGGAGTGGCATGGGAGAAATAAATAACAACAACAACAATAAATAATAATAAAGCCTATCACATCATAAACTTTCCCCCTTTCTTTCAAACTGCCCTCTTTCTTCAGAGACATCTGTTTTTTGCCCCCACAATCCAATGTGGTTTCTCTGACAACTGTCATTTGCTGAGTTTTGTTCAATACCTGGGACGTGCCTACGCAAAGACAATACAGCAGTGACCTAAGGGAGCCCACCCATATGACGCGGAGACAGAAATTACACATTCATCCCACAATAAAAGAAAATGCAAATGTTTAAGGCTAAATTGAGTGAGGCATGTTGTGAAAACTAAGCCTTAGAAAATTTTAGGAAATGCAAGCCCGCCCTGCTGCCCAAAATGTATCTGCTCAACACACCACCTGGAAGAGCTGGGGGCACGGCTCCAAAGCACGAGCCTGAAAAGTTGCAAAGTTCCGAGGACACGGAACTCGGCTGCAGAACTCAGTCCAGAGTGACTGCAAAGGCGCTGTCTTCCCTTAACTTATGCAGCCCTCACTTTTGGAGGGAGCATTCTGAAGTCAACCAGTGGTGGCCAGAAATCATGTTCCCTGCTACACTCAAGGAGGTGCCTGCCTGCTGAATTGGGAAAAGTCCATTTAAAATTCGCCAGTACTCTCGAGTCAAAGGCAAGTCAGGGCTGTAACCCAGGCTGGTGTTCTCTTGACAAAACAAAGCTGGCCTCAAAGCCAGGTAGGTGCTAGAGCTCCGACAGGCAGGAGCCTGAATCCATGCTCCTTCTGAATACTGAGTGGCTACAGAAATCTCAGTTAACCTTTCTGAACCTCAGCTTCTCAATCTGATAAACGGGAATGATGATTCTCCACCTCAAACGAGAATAGCTGCTCAGCCCAGTGGTTCGGATGAGAGAATGTTCTGCCCACGAAAGGACCCAGGAAAAGTGAGCAACTTCACTAGAGAAAGGTGGCATTTCCCTCCGTTTGAGAAGTTCTTCTAGACGGGAGACGTACAATGGCCTTTTCTGAGTGTTCCAGACCACAGCCTTGCAGCTGGGGATCCAGAGAAAGAAACCCCAGTTGTGTTTCGCTGTGTTGCAGAGATGAAGACACGTGGTAATCCAGGTGGATAAAGACAAACCACAGGTGGTGCTGGTTCCATTGGCCTACTGCTCCACCCAAATGCCTCCTTAGGGAGGCAGTCTGACTTGAGCATTCTCTTTGGGCCGCTCAAGTTCCGCAGGAGCCAAGGCCCTCTCTCCACCACCTCAAGGAAAGGGAAAATGTGGAGGGACCTGCAGTTCTGGCACCATCTCCAACTCCTGCCCTTTGGAAACTCCACCGGGGGAGACCCAGCAGAGGACTCAGAGCCTTCTCAGGCAAAGCGTTGGTTACCAGGCAAAAGAGAGGGCTCTGCACTGAGGATGGTTTCATGGGGCATCGCTGGCCCTGACCATCAGGGCTGGAGAATGGGCTGGCAAGGCTGGGACAAGTGGCACGTCTGTGCTTGGGGTAGAAATGGGCTCACAGATTTTTTTCCTGAATCACCCTCTTTCTGGTACATCTTTCTTTCACAGTTGTTCTTTTATGAAATCCCAACTGAAAACACTACTTTGCCCCCTTTCCCTCAATGACTGAGATGCAGACTATTCCGGGAGGAGGCCTTCCCTCAGCTGGGCTCCCCTATCCTCACTCTCTTCCTCATGATTATGCCCACACCGCACCTCGGCCACGCCACTGCTCTAGTTTCCTTTCAATTCCAACTACCAAGGGCCAGCCGTGGGTGGACAACAGATCGGTCTGGGGCTGGCCGGGGCTCTCACAGTCTGGTCCGGCGCCTGGTTTCGCCTGGATGCTTGGCTGGTCAGGACTTGAGTAAATGCCAGACCTATAAAATGGGTCCTTATGAACCTCAAAACCGAACTGGAGCCTGGGAAGGCCTTTAGGACCGAGGGGAGCCATCTCTTCTAGGAGCCAGGCAAATCCCTGTCCTCGTGTCCCCAGCGGCTACCCCTTCCCCCAACCTCTGTCGCCCTCACATTCTCAGACACGGCCCCTTGCCACCCGCCAGACGCGATCACCCGCGGGGCCCGGTCGGCGTGGGGCAAAGTTGGCCGCCGCCTTCGCGCGGGGCCATTCCTTCCTCCTCCTCCTAGCTTCCATCCTCCCCCAGAGCCGGTGGCCGCCGCCTCCAGCAAGCGCGTCGCCAGGCTCGGCAAGCCGAGAGGCGCTCCCGGGAGCCCCCTCGCCCGACCAGCCGGCTGGGAGCGCGCCGCGGGAGTCTTCTCGCACCCCTTCCTTTCCCGGGGGTCAGAGGGCCGGGCTCCGCCCCATTCCCACAGCTCCCGAGCTCCCAGCCGCCGGGGCTGCCCCCGCTGCCCCACGCCAGGCTCTCCAGGACGCGCGGGGCAGCCGGGGGCGCGGGCGGCGAGCGCAGGGCGGCGAGCAGCGTGGGGAGAGGAGCAGCGCGGAGAGGAGCCGAGGGGAGGGGAGGAGAGGGCAGAGGAGGAGAGAGCCGGGGAGCTGAGGAGCAGAGGCGGGCGCTGCACGGCCCCGCGCCCGCACGCTTGCTCGCTCGGGAGACGCGCTGGTGGCCGCCTGGGCGCACTAGCCGGGTCACCTTGTCCCAGAGGTAAGTCCCTAAAGCCGGGGCAGCGCGGGCGGGCGGAGGGGCCGGCGGGAGCGGGGCGGGGGCGGCGGGTGGGCGCTGGAGGCTGCCCTCGCGCGGGAGGGCGTCCCAGCTCCGCCTCGGAGCGCGCAGCACCGGCGGCGGCGCGGCGCCAGCGGTGAGTCCCGGTGGTCGAGGCGGCGGGACACGGGAGGCGTGGGGTCTCCAGGAGCTAGGGGAGAGCGGAGAGGCGAGGAAGATGCGGAGGAAGGGGTGGGTGCTGTCGGCCGGGGCTACAGCTTGGCGCCTCGCCACCACAGGCGCCCGGGCGACGCGGAGGGGCTGCTGTGCAAAGTCAGCCGGAGCTAGTGAGACCCAGACCTGGGTGCGCGGCGGAGCCGGGCTGCCCGGGCCGTGACCGCGCGCGGCGGGCATCAGCTCTGAGGGTTCTGGCGACCCCCTGGAGCGGCCCAAAGGACCCCGAACGCGGCTGGTGAGCGGGGCAGCCGCGAAGCTGGGGACCGAGGTCCATCTGTGTCCGGGAGGGAAGCGGGCTTCCATTCGCCGAGCGGAGGGAAAAAGGAAGGCGAGGGTGCGAACGCCCTGGGGAAGGGGACTCTCAACCGGCGACCTGGACTGACATAGGGACTTCCGGAGCCCCTTGCTGCCGGCGAGGGCAGGACAGGCATCTATGAGCTGTCTGGTCCTTGGCAGCCCGACAGTCAGAAGCCCTGGGAGCCGCCAGCCCAGGCGCGGAGAGGGGAGGGAGTGGATGCGCCTTTGGGGTTCAAGTTCTAGTCTCAGTTTCCCTGGGTTTGAGCTCTGCCTTTTCGTGTGCGCTCTCTGAGAAGCGGAAAGAGAGGAATGGACTACAGGCAGAGTTGGGCACTTCCCTGAGGGAGGGGCTTTGATCGCTGTGCGTTTTGTGCAAGACTCCAGTAGAGTGGGCACTGGTAGCCTTGCTTTAGGGAGGCTGCCAGTAAGCTCGCTTGTCTTTTCTGAAGGACTTTTCTGAAAGGGTCGTCTGGTCGTCTTGATTTCCTTGGGGTCCCCTTGCACGCAAGGCTTGGGCGCCTGGTACCCAGACTTCTGTTGCGCGCATCCGTTGTGTGGCGTCAGATGCGCTGGCGCCGCCGGGCTGCTGGCCGGGACTCGATGTATGCGCCTTCTCTGGCTACGTCCCCATGTTCAGTGCAGCAGACAATGGCCGAGGGCTTGGCCGATTTGGGGTTTAGGAGGTGGGTGATTCCGTTTTCTGGTTAGAATCAGGCTCAGGCTGTGAGGCGTGTGCGTGTCTGTGTATCTGTCCGCCGCCCTCCTACTGGCCAGCATGTTTGGTCAGAACCCAAAGGGAGAGGCGTGCTGCGCAGACCTGCAGCCTGTGGGGTGAGCAGCCTGGTAACAAACGCCAGAGCTAGCCAACTTTTCCTTGCCAAGGTGCGATTGTCAGGGCCGTCTGCATTGGCGCTGAGATTTCCTCCCTCAAGAGGGATCCGACCCCCGAAACCCCCGCGGCAGCTACCGAGGCGGCCCGGGCAGTCTGATGTTGGTTCTGGCTGGGACAAGAAGTAGCTGGAGTTGAATTTTCGGATGAATTATTGCCTGCTTTGTGCCTGGTGGTTGTGTGGAATGTTCTTTTGGCGATCAGAACACAGGTGCACAGCCTGTGAGCCATGAGGAACAGCTCTCCGCCTCTTTCTCTCCCACAGCCCAGTCCCTTGGGTAGGTTTGTAGCTGGTCTGGTGCCCTCTTGCACCCGCCCCACCTACTGCATAAAAATGGAATCGTCATAATCAAGAGGGCCTTGTTAGATAAAGGGAAAAATGGGGAAATCTATGTTTCAAGTTTTTTATGATGAAAAAGTCCAGTGGTACACAAAAGTGAAGAGAATAAAACCCTGAACCTCCAATGTCCCCCTCATCCAGTTCCCAGACTCGTAGCCTTTTGCCTTTCCCGCTTGTTTACCCACCTCCTCAGAGTTTTGGCGGCCATGTTTGATGAAGGATGTAAAACCCATTCCGAGCTCCCCTCATCTCTAAGCGCATCCCCACCTGTCTCCAGCTGAGGAGGTTCCCCTGCATTCCCACCTAACCAGCATCAGAAACGACTGCTTCAGAGGATTCCAGTAGAACATGGGTGATGTTAAAATAAAAATGAAAGCATCCCCCCTCTTCCATTTGGGGGTAGAAAAAGAAAACCTGCTAATGTTCTTTGAGGCATGAAGTAGGGAACTGAAGGAAGAAAGAGAAATCCAGATCCTGAGGAAAAGAGACATTTGGAACAATTAGATTTGACTTAGACGTGCAGGGGATAAACAAGATTCCAGCTGAACCATGGTAGGCAAAATAACTTCTTTTTGGTAAAAACTTTCTCAATTCATAAATCATAAGCAATCAATTTCTTCCACATTCAGCATGACATAAATTAAAAGTGCTCCGCTAGACTTGACTCATCTTTCCCATTAACTCTAACTCATGTTTTCTAGGGAGTTATTACTATTATAAGAGAATAAAAGGATATTTTCTTATGTAAGTTTTCTATCTGAGACACTAGTTGGTGCTATTCCGAGGCTCATGACGAGTGCTGAATATTCCGTCTCTCGATTAGAGACCGTTTGGCCATCGCACTGGTCACATCTGATCCACCCTCTGGAGAGAGGCTCTGCTCACTCAGGTTTGATTCCGGGCGTAGCGTCTGTTGGCTGGAGAGGAACAGCATGGAGAAGGCCTCCAGAGACAGTGGGAGGGTGATCCCCCCACACACGCCCACAAGTCCCCTCCCACCCTACACATCTCTGCGCCTTCCTTTATATAAAAGCTGTTTCTAAAAATTGTCAGTGACGTTCTGGGAGGATTCAGTGAGACTTCTGAATTCCTTTATAAGGTGCGCTATTTAAAGGATTCCTTAGCTAACCTCTTGTAATATGAATAACCATCCTGTAAGTAGTTTTATAAGTCCTCTCCCCCCAAATCAGACCTTGTTTTTCCATGACACCAGCATAACCCTGAGCCCCTCCCTTTAGCCCCTGCAGGGCCCCCATGCATTTTCGAGATTTTCATGGCCAACACAGACTGATTGCAATACTGCGACCTATAGTTTGAACAGACTTCATGTTATCAGCAAAATTCTTTGAATGAGTGGGCGAAGGTGGCAAGGATTGAAGGATGGGGTATTCATTTATTAGCATCAGCAAAGCAGTGGGGCTAAATGAGTAGCAAAAGTCTGTTCTTTTAGTGGGAAGTCACATGGGATCGTCTGGCAGAAACGTGCTGATATGAGGCGATATTGGAGCTTTGGACCCAGCATCAATACACTGGAGACATTGTACCAATATGTCAAAAAAGCAAAACATTAAAGATAGTCAAACATTAAATATTCAAAACGTTGAAGATAGGCTGACCAGGTTCTGGCCCATGTCACCAGAATTGGAATAATGAAGGTGGTAGTAGGTACTTTTAACAAATGTGACTTTTCAGCATTCTCTGTGCAAGATGCTTAGACATCCAAATTATTCCGGAGAGTCTATAAACATGTGTTTTAAAAAGGAGCTGCAGTAACTGTTTCAGGCACCGGGCTGCGACTCCATGCCCTGGCTGTTGCTTTCTTTTGGTCAAGCAGTGTACTAGATTTCAGCTGTGAGTGGAGGGGAGGAGTCAGGGAGACATTTGCATTTTCCCCTGTGTGTGGCTGCTCCGCCCCACAGCACTTTCTGGAGTGCCTGTGAGAGGGCTTAGGTTTCAAACTCTGGGCTCTGCTGTCTGCTTGTTGCATCACCGTAGATCACTGAACTTTTGTGAGGTTCTGTTTCTTTACATCCATGTTCTTTCCAGGATTTTGAAAGCAAAATGGCTATGGTTGTTACAATATTTTAAGTGAGGAAGGCTCTGGATTGGGAACATGTTTGTGTCTTGATTGAATGTCTCTTTGGGTGAAGTCTGCATGCCCGAGGCTCTCTGAGAACGCAGGATGAGCCCAGGCCCTTCACTGCACCTGCATCCTACAGCTTCTTGTTGGGAAGAGTCAGAATAAGAACAGACAGTGCCCGTCCACCTGGGTGTGCATTCTCATGTAAGAATGTGCCTGAGTGGTGCAGACATTCCTGTCGGGTGGGGTTTAGAGGGAATGTATAGAAAAGGCTTATGAACAACAGCTTATGAAATATATCTTTAACACAACTAAATTTAGACTCATCACATAAAAGTTGTATGATTCATGTTATCTAGGATAAAACATTTTAAAGTAGATTATCAACAAACCACAAAGCACCATTTATAACACATGGTGATTAAGTTACAAACTTTGTTTAGATCAAAAGTCCAAATCATTTTAAACCATTTTATGATAAATAACCTGTTAAATTACATAAAATAAAATACAACAGCAGCAAGCAACAACAGCAAATAAGCATGCAGGCCCAAGATAACTATTAGAGCTAAGAATAACACAACCAGGAAATAATATATGTATAGAAAATAGTAAAAATAAAAGCTGCTTCTGAAAGCTTATTTCAGATCAACCCAGGTAACTTTGCATATTTACTTGCACAAAAAGAGTTTATCTAGGAATTCAGTTAACGTTATTCCAGAGAGATGGAGGTTTTGCACTTGGGGTTCAAATCCATGTTCAGTGTGAAACATTTTGAGTTTTTAGTTCCCAGTCGATTCTTGTGTTGATCATAGTCATTTTTAAACTTAGGTCTTGATAATGCTGTAGTGGCATTTAGGGCATGTGCATCTGAGGGAGAGAAGACGTAGGTATTTACTGATTGCAAGTTAAGTCTGTCATGAAGGGCCCACTTAGTTTAAATTCATATTTTAAAAACTTATTACTTTTCAAACACTTGACCTCACTGGGTTGCCACCCGCCTTCAAAGATGCCTCCCATGTTCCTTCCTTAACCTTTTTCTCTGTTGGCAAAGTCAGGGCCCAAAACCAAACCAAAAAGTAAGCAAACACTTCACACAATTGGAACCACACAAGGTCTACTCCACTGCCTCAGCTTTAAGATGCTTCTGAAAGAGAAAA